GCAAGGTGTACCCGCACGCGAACTGTCCGAGACTATCGCAACATTCGGAAACCCGCATGCAGATCGAAATAAAGATTACATTTCGCTATTGTTGTTTAATTACAAAGAGAAAGCGTGTGGAAAACACGTTTTTTGCAAAATATTTGTTAACAATTAATGAAAAATTCGATAAAAAAACGTTTAACCCGATTCTCAAAGTAAAGAATTATTAAAAGAAATTTATGAATATTTGAATTACATCCAAATAATAAATAAGAGATAATAATTGATAAATTTCCATACACCTTAATGTCTGGTAAAATCATAAAATTAGAGAGTGGCGTAAAATCAGAAAATTAGAGAGTGGCGTAACAAGTTCCGGCTACTTTGGACGTTTTCCGTTACATAAAACTCGTAAAACACGTGGAGCGACTATAAGTACTAAAATTCGTCGGAATATGAAAAGCCAAAAATTTTCTGAAAGAGATCCGGGAAAATTTCTGGTCTGTTAAATATTTAAAAGTTTCGAAAGACTTTCGCCATACAGTTGCTCTCTAAACTTTCGTCTGTTATCGCCTCGAGATATGCAGTTACCTTCTCATGATCCCTCCCTAAACTAAGTGTCTAGATTTCGAAACACCTTTAATAATGTAAGATATTTAAACTTTTCAGCATACTTAGAGTCGTAGTTTCATACTCAACCCAATCGATTTTATTGCCGCTTTATTGTATTAACGTTTCGTATTTTGCTTCCATTATTTTAAACTTCGAAGAATCGTGAATTTCCAGCAAATAAATCGAGCAAGAACAAAATCGGTGCGCGGCTGCCTAAAGTTACCTGAATTTCCCTCAAACAACGGATTCGAACTCACTCACTCACCCAATGTGCGGAGCATGATCTCCAACTTATAATATCAACGGGTATCGGGATAAAGCTAGTATATAAACGATCCTAATACATCTTCAGCACATAACACGGACGGTTCGAGAGTTCTTCGCGCTTGACGGAGCCTCTAATAACGGAGCGTCTCTAATACCGTGAGATTGGCATTTACGTACACCATCAAATTCAATTCTCGCGCGAACCGAAACAAGGGTCAGCATTACGGCGTCTAGCTACATCCTATAATAATGAAGAAAGGGCCGTGATATGAATATATGATACATACGTAGGAAGCTCAAGAGTTAGCTTCCACACAGACAGTTTAACTGCTAATTTATTACGACTCGTGCAATTATTTAAGGTGTAAATTATTTATATTGATCCAGGATTGATTTATATATGCTGCCTGAGTTGAAATTTTGATCCTGCTTTCGACCACAATATTCCGTTTAACGCTTACTTTGATACTCTTCGAGGCCTATCAACCTTTACTGATTCTATTTAATCTCTTAAGGCTTAGACATCGATGTCTCTCTCTTTCGGGAATCACTTTTTCGTGATAAATTTTACACAATTTCAAACGTCAACGATTCTGCTCTGCCATATTGGTTTCTTCAACAGGAAAATCACTATTTCACTAGTTAGAACGTAGAATAAGAACTCTATCTAGGATGAATCAATAATATTCAATAATATATTAATAATAATGAAGGAATCATTATTTTGCCAATTAAAAAATTATAGAGAAGACACAAAATAAATATACGTAATTATATACTGAGCCTTAAAAAGGTTAATCTAACTTTGCTGAAAGATTCTATGAGTGACATTTTGTGCATTTTCTGCAATTTACAGGTGTTAAATAAAATTTTAACTTCCGTATATATTAAAAACACTGATTCTTCAGAATATACAGATGTTGAAAAATTTTGATCAAAAAAAAAAAAAGTAGATCTGAAATTTCGACTCGGGCGCGCGCAATCAAGATCAAAATTCCGGAGAAATCTTACAGACACGCATTCGTGAACGGTAGTGAAAAGGTCGAGTAAATTACACTCTGTCGAAGTTAAAGATACTTTCAGTAACGGATGAAGACACATGGAGTATGAGAATCTTGACTTTTTCTTGCTGCAGATCCGACATCGCGGAAAATATTCGGAAACAGACGAAAACGTTCTGTGAGAAAGAAAATCGTATTCCTCTGTAACTGCGTTCTCCCATACGACGACGCAACCAATCGATAATGCTGTACGACTCGCGGCGAGATTGGAAATGGACGATCTCGGTGCGACGCACGAATCGCATACGAAAAATGCGCGTGTAAAGAAGGAAGAGAGAAAACAGTCTAGCTACGAGCGGATCGATACGAGCAGCTATATATAATTTCACGGCACGAACGGAACATTTTTCAACGAACGGTCGGAAGCCAAAAGCGCGGAACAAACTGGGATTTTTATTACGAATATCCATTTGTTCGCCAAAGTAACGGAGTTTCTCTATCTCACCATCAAATCTGCCCACGGAAGTCAATCTCGCGATTTATTATTAGGTGTACAACTTTGCTTCCTCCGTTTTCCTATAGATGGCTTTAGCGGTAAGTGGTGGTCGAAATAAATAGATCATAGACGTCATACAATAAACTTGGACATCTGTCAACATAACCCCATAGAAACATTAGTCGATTTGTGTCTGCATCATAAAGTTATTCTCGATTGAAAATGTCAGTTTACGAGCCAAATTCTCGTCATTTGCGGGAGGTTTTAATTTTCTGCTTCAATATAAAGAAATCTGCGGCTGAGGCTCATCGAATGCTCTCAAATACTTATGGTGAGGCCGCTATTAGTGAAAGAACGTGTCGTGAATGGTTTCAATGCTTCAAGAATGGTGATTTTGACGTCGAAGACCGGCATAGCGATGGAAGAGAGAAGGTTTTCGAAGATGCAGAATTAGAGGCATTACTTGATCAAGACTTGTGTCAAAATCAAGAAGAATTGGCACGATCATTGGGAGTGATTCAACAAGCTATTTTAAAATGCCTCAAAGCCATGGGAATGATTCAGAATCAAGTAAATTGAGTGCCGTACGAATTGAAGCCGAGAGATGTTGAACGGCGTTTGTTTGCTTGTGGACAGCTGCTTAAAAGAC